CTCCATCTAGGGGTTGGCAGACCCTTTCTTGCTGAGCCGTGAAAAAGCTCCAGTGGCCATTCTTTATATACTATATTATTGCTCAATGGTGCACGCGCCTCCATTTTTTAGGCTGGTGACAAGTTCGATCATGTTTGCTTACAACAGGCTAAAACGGCCGCCATCCTTGACGGGCCGCCATGTTGGGTCTCAGTGATCACTTATTTACATTGAAGGTAGCGTGGGTTCCAACGTGAAGGGGGTGTTTTTTTTTTTCCTTTTTTCATAGCGCAAGTTCTGTAAGCTGGAGGGTTGTTTTCTGAAGTTGGCCGCTGTTTTGTAGAACAGGAAAATATCATAGCATATCCACGGAGTGAATGATGTGGGGGTGAAGCGTCCGTCAGTCCGTCCGCGCGTCTGCCTGTCTGTCTGCCTGTCCGTCTGTCCGTCCGTCCGTCCGTCCATCCGTCCGTCTGTCTGTCTGTCTGTCTGTCTGTCTGTCTGTCTGTCTGTCTGTCTGTCCGTCCGTCCGTTCGTCCGTCTGTCTGTCTGTCTGTGTCTGTCCGTCCGTCCGTCCGTCTGTCTGTGTCTGTCTGTGTCTGTCTGTCTGTCCGTCCGTCCGTCTGTCTGTGTCTGTCTGTGTCTGTCTGTCTGTCTGTCTGTCTGTCTGTCCGTCCGCCCGTCCGTCTGTCTGTCTGTGTCTGTCTGTCTGTCTGTCTGTCCGTCCGTCCGTCCATCCGTCCGTCCGTCCGTCTGTGTCTGTCTGTCTGTCTGTCTGTCTGTCTGTCTGTCTGTCTGTCTGTCTGTCCGTCTGTCTGTCTGTTTGTGCCTCCGTCTGTTCGTGGTTCTGTCCGTCCGTTCATGCGTCCGTCCGCGCGACCATCCGTGCATCCGTTCATCCGTGCGGGTGTTTGTCTGTTCATCCGTCCGTCCGTGCTTCCGCCATCTTCCGACTTTCGAGTAGTATTGACCACTCGAGCGTTTTTTATAACCAATTCTGGGCGGGTGCTCCAGGCAGAGAAAGCTAAACTCCTTCGTTATCAAATTCGTTTCCATGTGCTGCTCAATTTGAACTTTTTACTATGCTGTAGCCGTATATACATTCCTGTTCTGTGTTTGCATTGTGATATTTGTATATTTAATTTCTGCGTAAACTTTCCCACCCTGTAACAGCCCGAAAGAACTCACAGTATTGAAACTGAATAACTAGCTAACTAATCAAATAAATGAAATATAGGTTTGCAGCGCGGATGCTGATCTGCAGGAGCCAGAAACACGTGTAATATCTCTCTCGTGGATAAGAATTGCCCCCGTGGCTACAGTATTGCGTACAAATCATCACGACGCAGTGCCTTTCCAATAGCATCCCCCATATCGCGCCCCCACTTACGACACCCCACGTGAAGCAATGATTTTTCGAGAGGAGACATTCCGAGCTGTGACCTGCGTGAATCATTGGTGGGGCAGCGCGCTCGCGTGCAGGCGCTCTCCGTTTCCCGCAGCGATGAAGCATCGCCGTGCACTCCGCCTTGTCAAGCTTGCTCCTGCAGACCACATGTGTTACGTGAAAGGCGTTGCACTGCCGGCGAAGAAGGCACGCGAGCCCTACGGAGAGCTCAATCGCATCGAAGCGCGCTATAGAGTGCTCCTATCGGCTTTTATCCCCCTCTCATCCGCTCTGTAATTTCAACGCACATCTCCGGCTGCCAGCGTCGGCGTACTCTTCGCTCGTGGACGCAGGTGAGGGGTGGAGGGGCGATCGTGATTAAACGTCTGGTCCGGCATGACCTCCGGGTTTGGAGCCTATCCGGGTGGGTGTATAACGCCGCTATGTGAATCGGCTGTACAGAGCAGAAGTGCGTCGATTTTCACCTTGAACGATAGCCACGCCCTCTGTGTGACGACGAAGCTACATGGCTCAACGGCGTCTGGTTTGTTCGTAATGTTGTACAGTGCTCTCCTGTTCGTCACGGGGATGTCGTTTTTGTTTTGGATGTTAGCGAGGAAATATGGGAACAGTATTGGTCAAGACAAAGTTGCGCAACTAAAATTAAGAAGGTGGTAAAAGAAAATGTGTTTGCAAAACGCTCGTCACAGAGATCACCGTATGTTTCAGTAAGGTTTGCTGAATGTTGTGAGAATCGTTAGGCATGTTCGCACAACAATTTTGAATCATATACATCATACAGGCGCCTCTGGCAGGGAGGAAAGAGGAAATGGAAGTGCAATGTATTCTTAACAAGCATAAGCGTTCACATAAACCGGTGCTAAAGACATTGCGTGAAATATATTTCAATTACTAATGTATTCATGCATTTTAATTATTTCTTCATGCTTTACTACATTTCACTGTATATATTTATGTATCGTTAGCTACCATGCTTTTCTTTTCTTATATCTTGTTGATATTATTGATTCGTGCAACTTACTGCCAAAATTACAGGTGTACTATTGCTGTTTTTTTGTTGTACCTAGTATCACACATTTTTTCTGTAAATAAACTTGAATATTCTGTTATTGTCTGTTTGTTATTAGAAATGTGTTCATTCAAAATAATTCCCTGTTACGTTTGTACAGGTAATGTTACATTCTATGTTTTTTAAATATTTTTTTCTACCATGTGTGATCATGACTTTTACATTTTGGACGAAATATTTTTAGCTGCCCCTTGTTGTCATGTAATTGATATTCTGGGCCTTAGTCAAGCTGTTTCATTAGGGCTATTAGCCCAGGAGACCATCCAGAATTTAATGTTTTCGCCTTATTCGGGAAAAAAAGAAAGAAAGAAAGAAAAAAAGAAAGAAAGAAAGAAAGAAAGAAAGAAAGAAAGAAAGAAAAAAGAAAGAAAAAACAAAGACTATTTTCCCCTTTCTACAGTGATATTATAGGCTACCTACTGAGAAGCCGACAACCCAGGGAATTCCTTCAGCACACGAATTACGCAATGATATAGTGGAATTTTATGACGCATCTGTCAAGGGTTTCTGCTGTTACGGTCGTTTTCCGGCTCTCACAGCCACTTATGTGACGCTTTCACGCCCTGCGCTTGAGCGCTACAGAAAAGGCTACTGGTGAGCAGGTGCTTTGTAATGTGAGGGCGCTTTGTCGTGTTTTTCTTCTGTTCTGCTTGACCTGATCTTCGCATTACACTCAACGCAGACACAGACAGAAGTCAATATTTTACAGACTCAATAAACACTATTCCCGTTTCAGGACATTGACTTTGCCTGTTCGAAAACAAATAGCATCATTGCTCCTCTGGTGCCGCGAGTCGACGAGTGTGCAGATGCGTTAAGTGTTTTCATTGGGACAAACATGGAGGGCTAGAAAATTATTTCTGTCTTAGTCTCCCATTAGCCTGTTGCGCCTTGCTTAATATTTATCTTGCGGTGATTGTGGTGGCTTGCAGATAGGCAATAAATAAGGCAGTACACTCAAACTAAATGGGAAATTGAACACAGCCATGCCCAGTAACTTGATCGACCGAACCAGGGTGTATACGGTTTAGAAAACAGGCCTCATTTGAAGGCTTTTGTTTGTTCCTAATAATGTTGAAGCGGGGATCTTTAAGCTGCGCTGGCATGCATAGCATGTGTCCCTTTTCTGTCTTTTCGCGGACGCTGTTTGTGACCGTGTGTTTCTTACCCTCCTCCTCTTCCGCCAACCCCATTTTTGAAGAGAGTGCTATAGTTTATACATACACAATGCTGAATACAGCATAGCGTAGTTAATCACAGCACCGGGAAGGAACACTCGATGCTCTCGAATAGTGCTACTCGTAACTGTTGCGACTCCTGTGCATCAGTGCTCACCGAGGTGGAAATTTGGGCGCGTTGGTAGTCGGTGTTTATGAAGGGTAAAAGCGCATTCAAGACGAGCTAGGTGAAGGAGTACAAATGCACGCACATAACGCCACTTTCGACCTTGACGGCTCAATGTAGTGCTATGTGTGCGCATGCGTGTTCCTGCATTGTCTTACACGTGCCCTTACAGCTCTAATTTTTTTTCCTGTGTTGAATTTGCTATCCAGTACTTGAAAAATAGTAATTAGAAATGTAAACAACGTACATTACTCTCACCCTCCTATTTTCTTTCTTTCGTTCTTTCCTTTTTTCTTTCTCTATCTCTCTCTCTCTCTTTGTCGACTGGTCCACTTATTTTCTTGCAAAAACCATAGTTGCTCGTGTGCTATAGATTTCTATCGAAAACAAACACTTTAAAAAGGCACTAAAGTTTTTTTTTTCTTATTGGTAAATTAATCTCCGACTGTACAAAAATCCCCATGCTTGCTTCGAGAAGATGCTTAGTAAGCGAAAAAACGCGCGAAGAGAAAATACACGTGGTGATGTCACCTTGATGTTCCCGCACCAGCTTGCCGTGGCGTCACGGATGTTGTCGACGTATACTGGGACCTGCGTAATCGTTCGCCACTAAAGAATGTTTAAACTGTTTTTCGGTGGACCAAAGTCCTAGCACTGCAGGTTTCAGAATATGCCACTGAACAAGTGTGGCCAAAATACGCATAAGGGCTTTAAAATCCGTGACGCTACACAGAAGTGAACACTGAGCGAAGTTTCCAGCGCGAAATTCAAACGTGCAGCTTTGAACTTTCTTTATTTCTATCAACGATGCAGAAAACTGCGGGTAAAAGTCACTCGAAACTAAGCAACTTGACAGGGGCCTGTAGTCACCTCTACAATGCAGGCAGCGATAGCACACATGTTTAGAAGAAAAAGAAATAAAATCACGAAGAATCCATATTCAAAAATACAAACTATCAAAGAATAATACAATTCTGTACAATAAGAACAGTCACAGCAGTGCCAAAAAAAAGCAAGACGTTATTTTTGTTCACTATGTGAGAATGTGTTCACTTCCTTTTCTCATAATTGTTACAAGATGGCGTAATGAATATCTACAGAGACCTGAAAAAACAATTCGTCAGTCTAGACTGATTTCATGTTTCACTATGGTGTCCCCTTATCAAACGCGGCTGCTCCGCACGATCACGCTGCATATACCTCCCACTCTTCGCTTGGTCTCAGCGCCGATGAGAGCGCTCGGAGCTTCCGCGCCGCATCCTCGCCCACGGAGGCGCTTCGCTCCGAAACAAGATTTTGGTCGCGTGCCGTCGGTGTGGCTCCTCTATCAACCCCTCCCTCTCTGATGATCGCTGTTGGCTCCCTGCGGTTGCTCTGCTTTTCTTTCTTCCGCTTCAACAACTGGCCATCACTGCTTTGCACGAATCGTGCGCGCGCCAACCGGCCTTCTCGCCCCGCGCGTGGCACGGTCCAGGACAGGACGCACGCGGCCATCGTAGGGTGGTCCTTCGCGGTTGTTGCATGTGGCCTCCATGTTTGACCCGCGGTCGGCCTGTACAGCGTGGGCCCTTTCCAAACTGCAACACCCTCGAACGTTTTGACCCTCAACGTCTTGGTGTCAGGTTTCCGAAGCACCCGCGTAGTGTGGCGGTAGTGACGCGCACGTCTCAATGATTTTGTGCAGTACTGTAATTGAAGTTAAGCTATGCATGAATTCAGGTGCCAAAGACCAGCGTATCAGTTACACCACAATGGAGGGTTGCGGAATGAATGTGTGACTGCATTAGCTGGGAGTTAAATATGAGCCCTCATGCCTTAGCGCAACGCTGCAGCTGCTAAACTAAAGCACAGTGTTTTGCTACAGTGCCCGGGACGCATGCAGCCAACTGGAAAATTTAATTTCACTAATATATATTGTCACGACGTGGTACATCGATACAATGAAAGCATACCGGTCGACGGTCAGCGGTACGCCGCAGAGGTCGACAAAGGCAGTCGGAATCGGTGTGTCGTTTTGCTGACAAAGTCAAATTCTTGGAGCCGTAGACTCCAGCGTGCAAGATGGCCAGATGGTTCTTTCAAGTTGACTAACCAACAGAACGAGTGGTGATCGCCGATAACGGTGAAAGGGCGGCCGTACAAATAACTTCAGGACTGCCCATACAATTGCAAGACATTCTTTCTCTGTCGTAGTGCAGCTATAGCTTCTGCTCGGGACAGCGTCCTCCTGGCGTAGGCGATCACCTCTTCCTTGTTGTCCTTCGCCTGTACGAGGACTGCTCCAAGGCCCACATTACTAGCGTCTGTATGTATAGTATTATTGGCGCGTCTTCATCGAAGTGGGCGAGCACGGAAGGTGTTTGCATCCGCTGACGAAGCTCGTAAAATGCTTGCTGCTGGTCTTCGCTCCATGTGAAGGGGATATCTTCCCGAGTAAGCTGTGTCAATGACCATGCGATGCGCGAAAAATTGGCAATAAACCGCTGGTAATAGGCACAGAGTCTCAAAAAACGTCGCACTGATTTCTTGTCGGTAGGCGTCGGGAAATTCGTCACCGCGACAATTTTTATCCGGGTTGGGTCGGATCCTTTGGCTGCATGCTTACGACGTGATCGAGGAATTAAAGTTTGTGGAAGCTGAAGGGATACTTTTAAGGTTTATGGTAAGACCGGCCAAGCGTATCGCTTCAAAAACTGCTTCGACCTTTTGAGTTTGAGTTTGAGTTTATTTAACCACGTGACAAGTACACGAAAATACACTGTTTACGCGGTTTGGTGCAAAGGGAAAAAAGCTGCATTTCACAGCTTGACTGGCCCCTTCACTCAGAAAAAAAATTTAAACTACAAATTTACAAAAAGTTACAACAGTTACAGGCAGCGGAAAGCGACAATACAAAAAGAAACACGCATGTGGCCCATGACAGCAAATAATAAAATCACAACTCTAAAATACACACAAAAATATTCATAACAAAGCAATGCATGAAAGAATAAAAACTGAATAACCATTAGAAAAATCACCCAACATTCATTTACAACACAATCAGCACATCCGATTTAAGATTTCAGTTTTAGACAACATATGCAGATATCAGTTGTTAGCTTCCATTTGTTCATCACACTTGGAAGGCGGTAACGTAGTGTTTCAAATCCATAGTTTGTGCGAGGACAAGGTACGTGCCAAGTCTCCGTACACCGAGTAATGCGACTGGCAGGGTTTGGTTGCAAGGTGGCCAAGGTGCGTAAAAAGATACTTCCTCTGCGTATTTCTGATTTAAAAGCTGATATAAATCCTTCGTAAGTGTTCCGCGAAAGTCCCCGAAAAGACAATCACGTCGTCGAGGTACACCAAGCAAGTTTGCCACGTAAGTCCCGACAGAACCGTGGCCATCAGACGCTGGGATGTTGCTGGCGCCGAACACAAACCGAAAAGAAGTACCTGAACTTCATAAAGTTCATCGGGCGTAACAAAGGCGGTCTTATCCCGATCTCTGTCACCCACTTCAATTTGCCAGTAGCCGCTTTTCAAATCCATGGACGAAAAGTGGCGTGCGTTTCGTAGTCTATCCAATGAATCATCAATACGCGGCAGAGGATATACGTCCTTCTTTGTGATCTGATTGAGCTTTCTGTAGTCGTCGCAGGAACGCAAGCTGCCGTCCTCCTTTTTGACGAGTACAGGTGATGCCCAAGAACTGTTAGATGGCCGAATAACACCATCTTCCAGCATCGTTTTCACCTTTTTTTAATTGCCTCATGCTCCTTTGGGGCGATGCGATAAGGATTTTGCCGGATGGGTCTGGCATTGGAATCCGTGATGATGCGGTGTTCCGTCAGTGTCGTTTGACCAAGTCTTGATGTGGATGAGAAGCAGCCGTGAAACTTGTTGATCAGCGTGAGAAGGCGGTCTCACTCAATGGGAGATAACGTTGGACCAACGTCGACAGGGGCCGGTGTAGTGATGGTAGATGCTGTTGCTTCCTTCACTAAATGACAATCTTCTATTTGAGCGAGTTTGTCAAAATAGGCAATAGCCGTGCCTTTAACTATGTGTCGGCGTTCTCTGCTGAAATTTGTCAACAATAGTTCAGCGCATCCGTCAATAACAGTGATGGAAGCCCTGGCAACAGAAATGCCCCTAGTCAGTGTGAGCTCCTTGATGTATTCAGCGACGCCAGTACCGTTTTGTAAGACAATGTCGCAGTGCACGGATACGAGGGAGAAACTTGTGGTTGCAGTATGACGTCGTCATCGGCAATACGGAAGTGAGGTGGCTGGTGTTCCTCATAGCAGTGTCCGAGCTTATAGCGAACGTTACGCTTCTGTCGCGGATGTCAATCACAGCCCCATCCATATTCGTGCAAAAAATCCATTCCGTTTATAAGCTGTTTACAGCACTCGTGAAGAATGACGAGGGTGACGACAAAGGTGGCGACAAAGGCGATGAAGGGTCGGGCCGTGCACTTTCCAACTGGTGTCATCAACTGACCTCCGGCAGTTCTCATATTGGGTCCGTGCCGTGGCACCTTCACCTTCCTCCGCCGGCTAGCCGTAGGCTTATTATATAAAAGAGAGAGCCAGTGTCTACAAGAGCCGTCACTTGGTGGCAGTCAATGTGAAGGACGAGGTCAGCGCTGATAAGGTCAGTAACGTCGGCAGTTGTCTCATTCGTTGGATTAGTCGTTGCTGTCGTTATCTTCAGCAGCGGTGGCTTCGAGCTGTCGTTTGCTTTTAATGAGGGCTCTTCGGAATTTAGATTATTGGCAACCTTACCCTCCCGAGGTTGCTGCGTCTAGTTCCCCTGTCGCGGGCTAGAGGACCTGCACCTGGTGACGTCGGCAAAACTGCGACGATTCGGTGAACTGCCCCGCGCAGGAGATGGAGAACGGGACCCAAGCATTACTATAGATCTGTGGTGGTGTGTTCACAGGGGCGTCGTTGTACGTGCGTCGATCGTCGTATATGTATACAGCGTAATCAGGGTAGCGAGGAAATATTGAGTACTGAGCGTCGCGATAACGGCGAACTCTGTAGACGTGCCCAGCTTGGGCACAATGAAAGCCTACTGGTCGACGGTCAGAGGTATACGCCACAAATCGGTTTTCTGACGCTGGTATAGATAAGCGGGGACTCGCTACTGAACCACGTTGTGGGGTTCACATGTTGGCTATACGGCATTCGTCTTGTCGGCGAGATCGGCGAGGCTAGAAATGTCGTCGGCGCTGAAAGCGGCTGTGTTTTCAGGGTTGGTGGTGGTCCAATCATTGGAGTGCGCTGTGCCGAAGGCACGATGACGGAGCGTCGGACTGCATCAGCATAAGTTAGATGTCGTTCGCACGTCACCATAGCCGCATGAAGAGAGAGCCTGACGGACCTCATCGCGGGCAACATCGGCGACAAAAGACAATGCCAGTGTCGGTTCGCTTGCTGGAATTAAACCAAGCTGCCGAAACTCCTCCCTCAAAATCTCCCGGATGACTTCCCGCAGTGGCCTGTCATTGTCTCAGAGGCTCGCCGCAGTTGTAACGGGACTACTCGCTCGAAAGTTGACCGGGTTCTGCTGGTGGTACTGTTGCTGTAGGACCCGTTCAATAGCTGTGGCTTCTTTCGTGAACTCAGCTGTGGTTGGTGGATTTCTCACAAGCCCAGCAAACAGTTGCTTCTTCACGCCTCGCGTTAGATACCGCAGCTTCCTGTCTTCCGGCATCTCGGGATCTGCCCGGCCGAAAAGACGGGTTATGTCCTCGGCGAACATAGCAACGCTCTCATTCGGTTCTTGAGTTCGAGCTTCCAAGAGACGTTGCACATTCTTCTTTCTGTCGAGACTAGTAAAGGTGTCAACCAGCTGGTTGCGGAAGTCGTCCCACGTAGCCAAGCGTCTTTTCCTGTTGATGTACCACGTCTGGGCGTTGTCTTTCAGCTAGAAGTACATATTCGTGAGCTTGTCTTGTGGGGTGACACACTGATTCAACTTCGCACAGCGTTCGAACTGGTCCAGCCAGTCTTAGGTGTCTTCATAGGTCTCACCATGAAAACAATTGGGAATGATAGGATTCTGAAGTGTCATATGCGATGGACCCGCAGTGGCCATGGTGGCTGAAGGAGGCAAGAGGTTGCTGGCAGTTTCTCGTAAAGGGTTGAGCTCGATAGCGAGGCCTAGCAGACGGCGACTGAAACGGTGGACTGGTGTGTCGACGCGTGGTAGCGATTCCGGGCTTGAATGTCGGGTCCGCGAAGGGGTGCCAAGCATGAAGACTACCCAGCACCTCCACCAGTGTGACGGTGCGGGATCGACAAGCATACGAAGCACCTCGAACAAATACGCTTTATCGATCAAAGACTGGAACGTATTCTTCGACTTTTCTCTCGGCCAAGGACACTCGCACTGCTTCGTTGTCGCCGCCACTGGCACATACGAGCGGCAATATGTATATTTACAAAGGATCGCTATGACCAGCCGCGTCATTCCTACTACAAATATGAGCGTCACAAAGG